TGGCACTGAGCCATGGTAGTTACAGTGGTGTCAACCTTGATTATTTCTGCAGTGCAGATGCAGCCAAAGAAAAAGAAGAGCACCTGGGGAGAAATCAGATGTGGACTATAGTATTATTAGTATATAGATTAGATTTACTCACACATTCTGGTTCTAAAAGGTCTGGAGGCTATTACAATGATAACAATCCATGTTCATTTCTTAAATTGGCTATATACAACCTCAAGGAAATATCAAGTCCTTCATCAAGACCGTAGTTCTTCATAGAATCCTAGAGCTGGAAGAGACCACACAGCCATCCAGTCCAACCCCCTGTCATGCAGTTTATCTTAGATTTACAGTAAAATCTGTACTTTCACATCTCACAAAGTATTTTCAACAATCAATACAAAGTGTACATCTTCTTACCCTGATATGGAAATCACTAAGCTCCATGCACTTGCACATCTCCAAGAAGAACTTTGAGCCTTCTTCATCCAAGATGATATAGACGGGGATCCGCCGCTTATATGCTGCATCTACAACATCCCGGAAGATGTCTCTGTCAGTAAAGTGGTCCATGACTATCGCAATGATCTAATCATGGACAGAAAGAAGAATGACACTTATTTGAAAAATATTATAAAAACACATCAGGCCAACAAGTGATATACCAAGTGATATCATATGATGATACTCTACATTATGAGAAACATATGCTTCAACATGTTCAAGAAGTTATTATTTCACAGCATGGTTCTTATTACTTTCACACATTCGAAACTTGTCAGTTCTTGTTGAGAACCACTTCAGGGCTTCCACTGAGTGTTCTATGTCAAGCAGATGTCTATGGACTCCCAGAATGTTTCTTTCTCTCTTTGTGCTACATGCCTGACTAGTTTCTCACAATTATTTTAACCTATGCAGTCTGGAAAATCTCTTTCCATCACTCACAAACAAACCAATCTGGCATTTATCTACCCTGTAACAAAGATTACAGTCCCATCCCCCCCCAAAAAACACGGTGGTTTACCAGCAGCAGCATAAACAGAACTGTAACCCAGATAGGATAATGACTTTGAAACAATCTAACAAACATATGAACAAGGAAGTAATTGACACAATGTAATTGTTTCTCTTCTAGGGATGGTTCAAAAATTGGTCTCTGCACATTCTTGTTTGCCATTCATATGAAGCATGCACTATCCCATTTAATCCAGTCCTTACTCCTGTAATGTTCAACGACTATTTCATTCTGAGACAGTTAAGGGAATTTAGGAAACACTATCTTAAGACAATGTTTTGAACAGTGTGTTTCTTGTGGCTGAATATGTTGGATATACCTGATTTAGGGAATGTTCTTTTACTATTTTTGTGAGCATGACCATATCTCACTATTATTAAATATCAGACTCACCCTAGTGACTGCCAGTTAGTTTCTGGGCAAAGTACAAAGTCAGCTAAGTATTTCTGGTTCCATATTACAGTAGAAAATAAAGTCAGTGTTCCCATCCACCCTGTTTTCATCTGAATCCCAGAATACTAGATAGTTACAAGGAAAACTACCTGATTCTTGCAATGAAGTTCAAAACATATATATTGGTTTCTCATTGAATTTAATCGGACTTAGCACCCAAGTTAACTGCATACAGGAATACAGACTTAAACTCACTCATTATACCACCATGAATTAACCAAGGAGGCAGGCTTTTAGAAAGTTATCTCCTAGAGCTGACAAACAAAAGACATTGTGCAATTCTGTCTTTGTTGTTTCCTATTCAATGATTTTTTTTTTAGTAACCAAAAAATGTAATGATAAGATGTCAGGAACCACTCACAAAAGGTTGAGTTGGAGGCAGCAATTGCATAATAAAAGCCTCACTTAAAAGTATTAAGAGCTCTTAGGCCTCACTGAACTACAAGCCTCAGAATACCACAGGAGGAAGCCAGAGCAGTAAAAGTGGAATAGCAGCACTGTAAGAGTGTAGTGCAGTAATGTGGCTAGTCTCATTTTAAGAAATGCATGCACAAGATCGGAGGCATAAAAAATGACAACAGGGTATTTCAGCCCCATAATTTCTGTCTTGCAACACTTGTAATAACATTTAACAAATAAAATATTTCAAAAGTCTGTACAGAAATAATAAAGAACTTCAGGATATTATTATATGGAACAGCTGCCGGAGGAGATCCGTCATATTACCACTCCAGAAGCCTTTAAAAAGGCTGTTAAGATGGATCTCTTCCGGCAGGCCTTTCCAGATTAGCCTCCGCTCCACTGATATTGATATCCCCCATTTACCCCCCAAAAAAGATAGATGTCTCACCTCTAACTACCTCTAATTTTAGCTAATTTGTTATTTCTTCTGCTTTTAATTATTTTATATTGCTATTCATTTTATATTGTTATTGTTTTTGGTTTGCTTCTTTTTCTTTTCTATGATTGGGAGGGGGGTTGGGGTAAGGGATTATTTAGAAATCTGGTTTTAACTGTATATTGTATTTTATTGTTATTCCTATTTGTTGTAACCCGCCTCGATCTGCAGGGAGAGGTGGGCTATAAATAAATAAATAAATAAATTATTATTATTATTATTATTATTATTATTATTATTATTATTATTTAGCAAACTATTAAGACAGCTGTATCTCTTAAATTCAAGCACTTTCAAGCTTGGCTGGGTGGAAATTTTTTCTCTTTTTCCAAGTCAGCAAAAATGTAAAAATAAATAAATACAGCATTTCTAAAAGTAACCCATTACAATGTAGCAGTGTCCGTTGCTGAAATATGGAATCCCATTTATAATGGTTCTGACTCTTTTAAATCTCACTGATTATACACACTGGGCCACAACATTATAGGGATAAATAATTTTTACTGTTGTACCTGCCTTCACTGCACTTGTACAAATAAGAATATAGACTTGAAGCATGTGTGTGTGAGATAGCAATAGCAACATGGGAAGAACAAACAATGCTGGAGGAAGGGCTATGAGAGAAAATAGGTTGTTCCCAGATATAAGACTATGCTGAACACTCCATGCATGTCTGCCAAATGTCCCAGTTTGGCAGAGACAATCCTGATTAATCTTCTGTTGTGTCAATTTTTCAATTGTTTTTACAATTGTTGTTTTTAAAACATCCCAGTTCCTCCCTCTTCCTCCCATGTTCCTCTTTTGTCCTTACGTTACTTCAGTTGGGGAAAGAGCAGAGGGGGTAGAATTTTTTGCTTCCCAATAGACCCAGACAAAAGCAAGCAGCCATTCCTAGCTTATGTGTTCTTCCTCATTAATAAGCTTTGCTACTTGCTTGGCCTCATGTGTCCCAGTTTTCATTTGTGAAATGTTGGAGGATATGCCGTTGCCTTTAATGCATTGGTTTTTCAAATTGCTGGTTATACTTGGGGAAAGTGTATCTTAAGAAGGAAGATTGAGAAGGAACGATTACTAATTTATGGGGGCTGGGGTTGTATGTTTTATCAATATCTATATTGACCCTAAGGTGATTTCCTAATGACTGCCAATGCTTTGCAACTAATATTGCTATGATTGTGGTGTACAAGCAAGATATTCCTACAGCCATGCAAAATGTAACAGTATCTGCATTTAATACACTTTAAAACATTGTTCTCGAGTTAGAACACTTGAAATAGCACTAGGATACTACTGCTAATCCGTTTTTACACATTTCTACTAAGTAACAAAATTAATTAAAAGAAAACATGTTTGTTAATTAAATTCCTGAGCAAAGAGCTGATAAATAATTTTAGATTCATTCTTTCGTTCATGACAAGTCTACACAAGTTAATGTGATATTATTTAGCACCTGAAAAATCCTGAATGCTAAAAAAGGAGGAAAACGTCTTGAAATTTATTATTTAGATTCATTTTCCCCTCCCATTCAAATCTGATATATGTCTCATACTATAGCTATTTAACTATAATTCCATAGTGAGAATTATTAGTTTTCCAGTTTTTGGCTATCAACGTTTCCCCCCCAGCATCAATTAGGTTATATATGATTATTTGATGTTTGCACAAATAAAGATCTAACAAATTCAATATGAAAATGTGTGATTCTAGGTGATTGAGATTCAGAACTCATCTACTTTTCTAGATTCACATGACAGATGTTTAAATAAATCAATCCCGTTTCTACAGAGTAAGCATATTACATTTGAGCCTGGAAATATTTTGTTTTGTCAGGCTGATGCACAGTACCATCTGTAGATTATTTTCAGAGGGTTTTTTTTTACTTATCTAACATTATAACTATAATCTCAAATATTTATTTCTATGTGCTGATGTTGATATCAAAAATCTTTCTTGCACCTAGCCTTAAAAACCATACCCATAGTTGCGAACATCACCAGGGAGTGGAATATTTTTGATAATAACCCTTTCCTTTGTGTACTGTTTGTTATTGTTTTTTCAAAGTTGGTAACTTTACTAAAAAAAACAAAACCCACCCTGAGATTTTGTTGTTTGCATACAATGTATAGATAATGGGAAAAACTGGATTCATGTTACAATTTATAGTACGCGCTGATAGCATCAAAATTTGTATTTCTTCATGATTTAATAGTATCATTGTTAGTAACATCCACATATCTAGTTATTTTACATTGTTTTGAGAAGTTAATTTTTGGAGGGGTAATTTGTCTTGGCTTGTATGTAAGCTAAGGTAGTAGAACTGGTACTAAAGGTATAAAGTATTCCTATATTTACTCACATATGTAAAATTCCATTCCTCATCTCATTCTTTTTCACAGAATATTGTCACTGAACTTTTTTGTAGGCACATTACTACTTTCAATTATAAATCCAATCTAACTTTGATATATTCTTTTTCAGCTGTGCCCACAAAGACAACAATATAGCAGAAAACACCTTAGTTTTATCCACTGGTTTGCTTCCTCAGCAGTTTTGTATAGTCAAAAGATCATGCAAGGAAAAATAGACCAGCAACCCAGAGACTGAAAAGTTCAGAGAAAACTATTTTGTATACAGCAAGAGTTATGAACCAGTGTGGCATAGTGGTTTTGAGTGTTTGACTACAACTCTGGAGACAAGGGTTTGATTCCCTGCTTGGCCATGAAACCTACTGGGTGACCTTGGGCAAGTCACATGCTCTCAGCCTCAGGGGAAGGTGATGGCAAACCTGCTCTAAACAAATCTTGACAAGAGAACCCCATCATAGGTTTGCATAAGGAACTTGAAGGCAGACAACAAACTTTCATGTGTATACTAGAAATTCATAAAATACAATAGAACAGTTTCCCAGCATGGATCCTCAGGTGTTGTTGGACTTTAACTCCCAGAAGCTAGAGGGAACGTGATCAAAGATTAGGGATTCTGGGAGTTGCAGTACTAACACCATCTGGAGGCACAGATATGGGAACCACTGCAGAAGATAAAACTAGAAATGGAAGAAGGGCCACAACTCAGTGAAAAAATACATTTTACATGCTGGAGTTCTTGGGTTCAGTCCTGGGTAGGAGGAAACTGTCTAAAACCTCAGCGAGCTACTGCCAGTCATGCTAGACCAGGGACTTCAGCTCCCAGAAGCCTCAGCCATGTTGGCCAATAGTCCCATGTTGGCCAATAGCTCCTGGGATTCTGGGAGCTGAAGTCCCTCGGCCTTTAAAGGAGAAAGGTTGCCTACCCCTGTGCTAGACAGTAGTGACCAAACTGCAGCCTGTAACTCTCAGCAGTCCAAAAACATCTGGAAGGCCACAACTGTATAGACAATATAGAGCTGGAGGAACTTGTAGTCTGACTTGATAAAAAGCAGCTTCCTATGTTCCTCATCCAGATTTCATTATAATGCCCTGTCCAGATGTAAAATTCTTACCTGAGTTATTTTGATACTCATCTGCTCACTCCATTTTGACTACTAATGAGGTGGCAAGACATAGCGCTACTGAATATCAGTTTAGAGACCGAGTATTTAATTAGTGTGGAGGTTATAAGAAGGAATTCCTCCCACTAATTTTGCTTATCATTTGCTGGCTTTATAATATTCTGAATTATGTATTTTATTTTTGAATTATCTACCTTTGAAGTCAATAAGTTTCCATTCTCACCTGAACAGCACAACTGGAAATATGGAGTGCACTAGGGAAAAACAGGCAACTTTATATGACTGAAAAGTTACTGATATCTACAGCACCCTGTACATTCCACTTAGAAATGTTACTTTTTCATTACAACTCCTAGAATCCCACACCCACCACTGCTAGTCCCTGTCAGTGGTGCACAATTACAGGAAATAGCAAGAGTTAAAGAGCTTCACTTGTCCAAACACGTAGGGATTGGAAGTACTGGGAGAAGTACTCTTGGTTTCTGAAATGCAAATTATCTGCTTGTCATTCAGAGAGAAGCCAGAAAAACTGGACATAAGCAAAATAGCCAGGAGAGAGGGGAAGTGAAGATTTATATAGTATACCATCATACTGTGTTGGAACATTCAAAACTGATGCATGGGAAAGTAATAAAGAAGTCATTTTCAGTTTTAAAAAGTTTTCTGTGAGTTCTGTTATCACTGAAAAGCTGAAGGACAAACAAAAAAAGTGGAAATCTTAAGTCTTAAGTATATATATTTATACTCTGGCCTGTAGGGTGGAAAACAAAAGTATTAGAACTGTTCTAAACTCAACTGTGCAGAACAATTTGAAGGGGGTGGGAAGGAAATAAAAAAATCTGTGGATACAGAAGGCCAATTGTACTGTACATAACTGTTTGTAGGGATGGGGAGGGACAGATTTGCTGGTTTAGTTTCTGTCATGGGCCCTAACAGGAATAGAAAACAAGGTGGCCTTTTTTAAAAGTTTGCAATGGCAGTGGTGTCACCACCCCTGGTGTTATCTGATGTGAGTTTTTTTTTTTTTTTTTTTTTTTTTGGGCTAGGGCAGCTAAAAGGGAATGTTCATCCCTTTTCCTTCACCACCACCATGGCAACCTCCTCCTGAGAAGACCATTGCTGTGTCAGCAAAAGAGGGAGACCTACACTTCCCCCCTTTTCACCCTGAAGTGGAGGAGGGTCCAGCTGCATGTCACCCCACTTCTGGGGTGTCACCTGGTGCAGGGCAAACCCCCAATACCCCTTTGGTTATGCCACTGCACCTTGGTGCCTCTTCCTGATGCATTTCCCCTTTTCTGGTTTATGTTTAGAATGTGTTGGCCCTAGTATTCTGAGCTGGGTGCAAGTTCAGAATGACAAAACACCACCGCCATTCTTCCTCACTGGCGAAAAAGAACAGTATGCCACTGTGGCTCTAAAGAAATGAAGGTTTCAAGTTTTCACTTTCACAGCAAGACTCTTCCACTTCATTGATGACATGAGGGAGCGAGAGACCTGTTCTGGAGGGAAGCCCTGTGTTTGACCACCTCCTTAAGCAGAGGGAAGGGTCATGTGAGATACAGCTTGTTCCAGGATTGAGGGAAGGCAAAGCCCAGTATGGAAAGATTGTGGAGCACTTGTACTTTGCTTGCCCTGGGCTTATAAGCAAGTTTGGCTTCCCTCACGCCTATGCTGTGTAACAAAGGAAGAATCTGGAATCTGTTGGTTCAACCAGCCCAGTCATCTGGGACATTTTTTTTACTCCCCTGGTTTTCCGGGACAAATGGCAAACATAAAGCATAACTGTATTTTCATATACAGGAGGTATAGGAATAGTGGAACATATCCATCAGTTAGGGGGTTGGAAGTCAGTAGCATAAGTATTGTCTGTTTTGGTTTTGCTGGGTATTCTTGTTTATGTATGTTTGTTTTAGAGATATATACAGTTGACCCTCCATTTTCGTGGGGGATCCATTTCAGACCACCCCCATGAAAATGGAAAAATTGCCAATATTCAAGCCCCACTGGCTTGAATGGCGGCGTGCTCCCCCTCTGTTTGCCGCCTGCAAACGGGTGAGGGACGCAGACTCTAAGTCCGCAAAAGTGAAGGGGTGACTGTACAAATTTTGTCCGTAGTCATGTTTATGTTTAATATAAACAAGTTTAAAAAGAGGACACCCTTCGTTCCAGACACACACACCTCATCCCTGGAAGACAGCATTCTTTTTATTTTTACATTTTACTCTTCCCAAGAACATAATTGTCTGTTGCTTCAGTGTTAAAAACTCCTTTCTCATCATTTAATTAACAAAATGATATAGCATACTTAATTACGGTACTAATGACTGGCAGACTGATTCTGGCAAAGGAGATTTGCTCTGAAAGTAGCTCATCTGAACTCAGTGAATTTAGGGACAATATATTCGGGTAAAATATATAGATAAAATTATAAAATATAGGTAGTATATTTAGTAGTATATTTGGATATATATATTTAGACTGGCTGAACAGAAGACTAACTAAGGATGCAGCTCTTGACATCACAAACTACAAATCCTAACACACACAAAAAGCAGTGTAGATGGTTCTGAGTAAGCCCCTGGATTTCACAGTTTTTTTTAGAAATAGTGGATAAACCATTATTTGCTTTTTGTCCCAGGAGCTTTTGAAGTTTGCTATTTGCATAGCACTCCTTCCAGCCTAACCCAATTAAGCCTGCAACTCAAAGTATTGATGTTTTAATGTGCTGGCTTATTTAATTTTTGGAAACTTTTTTATTACTAGGCTTTAATTCATGTCCCTTGTTTTAATTCATGTTGTGATCCACATTGGAAAAAGAAGAATATAATTTTTTTAAAGGTTTTATAGATTCAGGAATAATCTACTTTTATTCAGGGAGAGAAACCAATATGGAATAATGGAAGTGTCAAAATGTGGGACCCCATGAAAGCATATTGGTGTGTTTCTGCCCTGTGGAACTGGATTTTCCAAAAAAATTATACAATCAGGATGTTCCTCCAGGCTGACAACAAAAAAGGCTGCATCCACCCTGTAGAAATAATCCAGGTTGACACCACTTTAACTACCGTGGCTCAATGCTATGGAATTCTGGGAACTGTAGTTTTGAGATACATTTAGCTTTCTCGGTCAGATAGCTCTGGTGGCACAACAAACTACAATTCTCAGGATTCCATAGCATTGAGCCAGGGAGTTAAAGTGGTGTCACCCTGGGCTATTTCTGCAGTGCAGACACAGCCAGAGAGAGAATAACTGGACAGAAATCAGAAATGTGGACTATACTTTAGAGTAGGCTTGCTGATAAATTCTGGTTCTAAAAGGACTGGAGGCTATTACAAGAGGCATCTTCCAAAAACATGCTTCCAAAGGAACTGCCACTGTTAGCTTTGTTGTTTTTATGTGCCTTCAAGTCGTTTCCAACTTATGGCAATTGTGGTTTTCTTGGCAAGATTTGTTGCCACTGCCTTCTCCTGAGGAATCTAACCTAGTCTCAGTCCAAATAAAAATACTGGTTTATTTGTAGCAGAAGCTTTTCAGAAGACCATGGCCTAGCTCAGACCTGAAGGAAAACATTTAAGTGGGCTGAAGAAACAGCGTGGCTGCCTTAAGTTAAAGTTCTTCCTGGTGGCACTGTTAATGCCTTAAGAAAGAGGATGAGGAAGTTCTTTCTTAAACAACAGGAGTGATGTGGCAACCTGAGCTCACCCTTCCCCAGGGTGACCAGATGTCCTCCTTTCCAGGACATAGATTCCATTTCCACCTTCTGCCCAGGAGGAATTCCAAAATATCCTCCATTCGGAGCAAGACTAAAAAGAATGAATATAATATTTGAGTGTTTTGATTTTTTTATTTTGTCAGGCCCTCCATTTTTCCCCATCAGTGTCCTACATTTAATGGTGCCTGGTCCTCCTTGGCACTGAAGACCTCTGGCTACCCTGCCCTCCTGTCCAGGAGGAATTCCCAAATGTCCTCCATTTTAAACATGCCTAAGAAGCATGAATTTGATATTTATATGAGTGTGTTTGTTAGCTTTCTTTGGTCAGGCACTCAGTGTCCTACATTTAACATGCCTGGTCTTCCTTGGAGGTTAGGTCATCTGGTCACCCTGGGCAGGGGGACTTGGAGATATCTCCTTCACAAGGTCCACGACCAGGGTGACCAGATGTCCTCTTTTTCCAGTACATCCTCCATTTCAACCTACTCTCCAGGAGGAATTCCACAATGTCCTCCATTTA